CTCAATGAGAGCAATCAATACGACTACCCTACACTTATCCTACAGTGTACCTCACCACACATAGCTCTGGTCGTCCTACAGATGATATACTACACAGCACTACTTGTTGCTAGTAATATACTGGCTGTACTAACCATTCGTTTCCCAGAGAACTTTAACGAGTCAAAGTACATTGCTTCATCTACGTTTGCTCTCAGCGTGATGTGGCTTGGCTTTATATCAGGCTACTTTGCATCAGACGTTATCAACCAAACAGCTGTCATAGCCTTCACAGTACAAATGAGTGCCCTTGCCGTCCTCATCTGTCTCTTTGGTCCTCGAGTCTTTTTGATGATATTCCTTCCTAGTAGAAATGTAAAGACTCTCTCGGTTACGGGTGGAGTCACTCCTAAAGCTTTATCAACGCCGAGAAACAGCACGGCCATTCCAGGATTGCAGAGAAACGGCGACAATAAGAAGGAGAAACTAAGCCAGGAAGACTATATGTGAGTGTGACTTACAAAACTGAATTTAATTTTAAAATATTACAAATATTACACATTAACATACGTGTGTCTTAAATATCACACTTTTTATAGATGTAAATTTTATTATAATTTTTGTGCATTAATTCCTTTATTCTCTTTTGAATATTGTGTGATTGTATTATGAGGTGTGTGCACTATTGCTGACAATACATTAAGAATAGGTTTTGATAATAATATTTGCTTTCCCAATAAATAAAAGACTATGGGCATCTGTACTATGAAAGTAACGTAAACATGCCTTTATACTTGTATGACAACTTTTGACTGTTTTTAATAGCATGTCCACACTTTCATGATATACATATAAGGTATAATGACTGAGGCAATGCTATTGCAAACACAGTTCAGTAATTATATTTCATTTTCAATTGTAAGTGCTCAAATAGTTTGTCGATAAATTACCTCCAGGTAGTTATAAGCAGCATGATGTATAGCAAAGGATAAGCATATGCAAGAGACTTTGTGACGACTGCTGTGTTTATTTCCTGTCATGACTCATGATTATTAGTTTATAATTTTGTTTGTTGACATAAACTCTTAAATTGCTACAGCTTCACGTCTGATGTCATCTTGGAATAGAGGAAGCCTTAATAGAAACATGCCTAGGGC